TACAAAGCAAGCTGGGAAAACGTATAGAAACGATAACCTACTCCCCATTTCCACCATGGTTATTCTACCCTCCGGCAGTGTCAACGGAATTAAGTACTCGAATAAAGAAAACAGATCATCCTACACAACAAAAACAAAGCAGCCTGGAAATCATACATACTAAATGGGCGACTCAATTACATATATACACCGATGGATCAAAAGTACCTGAAAGAGGGACCTCTGCAGCTGCTTTTTACGTCCCTTACTATTCTGTACATCGGAGCAAAAGGTTAGCAAATTTCACCTCTTCGTACAGGGCTGAATTGGCTGCCATCATTCTTGCTCTCAGATGGGTAGATGAATTAGACATTTATGTGGGGTTGTTATTTTTAGTGATTCACTGAGTGCACTTATTGCATTACAACAACAGAAGGACGAATCTTTTATCCTGGAAATTCTCACCATGACTACTCACTTAAAGAATAAAGGAGTTGATATATATGTAGAGTGGATACCTGGACATTGTGGAATAAAGGGAACGAGATGGCGGATTTCCACGCAAAGGCCGCATTAGTAAAGAAAATAGAAGTCAATAATAATCTAAATATGTCAGAAATGAAAAGCTTAATTACTACAAGTTCCAAACTCCTTTGGCAAGAAAGGTGGAACAAAACCAACTCGTATTTGAAAACATATCAAAAAGATGTTAATAAACCATATATATGTTCATTAGAGAGACAACATTCAACAATAATTCATCGACTCCGCTTTGGAGTCCTTGGACTTAACCAGGATCTCCTCAGATTGGGAATTCATGCTACTGGTTTCTGTAATAGATGCCCCAGTGAAATAGAGACTGTAAAACATTTTTTAGTACATTGCCCTAACTATATTATAGAAAGGGCTATGTTTCTAACAGAAATTAACGAATCCCAACCTGAAAAAATTATGGAATACTTAAAAAGAGCGAGTCCAGTATACAGAAAGCTATTGTACGGTTCTTTCTCAGAACGAAACGGTTCCCTATCAGGAAGTAATACCTCCCTTGATGAACAGTAAAATATAATACAATATTATAAATATGCTAAATTACACTCAGTACATTAAAAATATAATAACATAATGTAATAAGAAAAGAAAATAAGAACAGTAAAACATAATACAATATTATGAATATGTTAAATTACACTCAGTACATTAAAAATATAATAACATAATGTAATAAGAAATAAAATAAGAATAGTAAAACATTATACAATATTATAATATGCTAAATTACACTCAATACATTAAAGATATAATAACAATCATAATGTAATAAGAAAATAAAATAAGAACAGTAAAACATAATACGATATTATAAATATGTTAAATTACACTCAGTACATTAAAAATATAATAACATAATGTATTAAGAAAATAAAATAAGAAAAAGTAACAACAATGATAAAAGGTATGATAAGATTACTGAATATAGAAGCTTGTGTAGGTGCTATCTTATATACATATTTATGTATGGTGTGTATGTGATATAACAAATAATCTGCACGTACTGTTAAGAAACACTAACAAAGCCCATGAATGTTTTGCTTACGATATTATTTTACGATACTATCTTAAAAGATAGATAAATATAAAACGAAATAAATATATTTTTTAAAAAATCCAAAATTGAGAGATATAACACGTGCCGTTAAGTAATTTGGCGACAATAGTCAAATCACTGACTAATCGCCAATAACTCAAAACACAACAACAACAACAACAAAGGAGTAAAATTAGTTTATCAGCATATTTTTTAAAGTCATTAACATCAGAAAGTGTTAACATCTTGAACCGAACAAATTAATATCAGTGAAGCACAGTGGTCATGTGGATAAGACATTACTTCACAATGAAGATGTACTCGGTTCGATTCTCGGCTATGCCTTTTTAATTCGTGTTTTTTAAGCATTTTTTTCTTCCTATTGATTTTTTTTTTTTTTTAGTTTTTGTTTTTGCGCCACCCCCTCCTCCTCAAAAAAGGAGTAAAATTAGTTTATCAGCATATTTTTTAAAGTCATTAACATCAGAAAGAGTTAACATCTTGAACCGAACAAGGTAATAAAAGTGAAGCACAAGTGGTCTTGTGGATAAGACATCGCTTCACAATGCACATGTACTCGGTTCGATTCCCGGCTATGCCTTTTTAACTCGTGTTTTTTTAAGCATTTTTTTCTTCCTATTGATTTTTCCTTTTTTTTTTTTATGCGCCACCCCCTCCTCCTTTTTTTTAAAGTCATTTAAATCTGACATATTGATATACTGAAAATTATTATGGTCTGACGATAAATTAGGTTCTTATGAAAAGAGTATGTATCACAAGAAAATCAAGCAATTTCAAGAGTAAGAATATAGGGTACAAACAGTTTATTTAAGAGCCATCGGCTCAATATAATTAAACATGCAAATAGTTGACAAAAATAGAATGTTTCAGAATCACTGTGAACTTAGATAGGAGTATATCCTATCACTGTTTATGTCGTCTTATCGGTACTCAATTATATCACAATATAATTCTCCATATTTCCAAAGGAAAATAGATTACCTGATGACCAGGTCATCCTTCGAGGTATAACATACAGTTAATCACCCACCGTCTCTAGCCCGGTCTTTATATAAAAAGTATACTGTTGTGGGTTAGAGAGTCCCGATTTAGAGTTCGTAAATACCACCTCTTCCTGTTTCTGAATAGGCGGAACGAAATACTCTGGTGTATGTAGTAACCCGGTGCGATATGATGCATGACCTGCTAAGCCTGACCGGTGTACGACAGCACTGGGCGTTGACTCAACGACTTGACGCGAGTAGGTTGCCTGAGCGTGTCGACTACGAACACATGTCCATTCACTGATGGTGCCTAGGGTTATGGCTACGAGCCCAGCTTGTCCAGTTCAGATGTTCAAATGATGATTCAAGTTGAGGCGAGGGCTGATGAGGCTTCTACCACGTCGGCCTGTGCTGCCTGGTTCTTGCCTGGTCCCATAGTATAGGGAAAGTCTATGCCAGCAACAGCATGCTTATAGCCTGTGGCTGTAACATTTACCTTCGTGGCCAACACCCCTCATTCACTCCCAAAATCAGACCAAATTCTGAAAGGTCTGCTCCTCTCGAGATCTCATGTGCAATCTGATTAAACTACCCTAAATCTCTAATCCACGTTGGCTCTCTCAATAGTAACCTCCTTAACATTCTTTGTATTCCTCTCATGCCAAAACTGTCCATCCAAATTCCTTTTACTGAATCATCTATACAAAACTTTCCCATTAACATTCTCCTCATCCTTTCCCCACACACTGACAAAGACAGACACCTGCTCTACTAGAGACCCAAGTTAGTTGACCTAGTAAATCCAAGTTAGTTGACCTAGTAAATTGCTACCAACAACATCTATTCATCTAACACCTGTCCATTACATTCTCTGTCTAAAAAAGAAATCCCAGTCACATTGTGACATATCTCCCCTTCCTTCAAGAAATTTATATAATTTCAGAAAAAGTTTCAGAGTGGTTTTCTCATTCTATACGAGGAAAATTTGTTTAAAGGAAAATATAAAGATCAATAATAATTATTAAAAAAAACCCTTCTGTTCCTGCTTTACTTGAAATCAACTACTGGTATCTGGTATCCTACTTAAGTAGTCTGCACCGACGTTTTCACTGCCCTTGATAGCTGTGATGCTAAACTGGTACGGTTGAAGCGCCAGAGCCCATCTCAGAATCCTTGAGTTCGCGACTTTTGATTTCGCGATACACTGCAGTGGCTGGTGATCAGTTTCTAGTTCAAAATGCTTGCCGTAGAGGTATGGTTCGAACTTCTGAACACCCCAGACTACTGCTAAGCATTCACGTTCCATAACACAGTAGCGCTGCTCTCTTGGGAGAAGTTTCCTACTAGCGTAGGCGATAGGGAACTTCTTCCCTTCTGTCTCTTGTAGCAGAATTGCACCGAGACCATGATCTGAGGCATCAGTCCTCAGGATGAAAGGAAGATCTAAGTCTGGAAGATGGAGGATGGGTTCACTAGCAAGTTTCTTTTTCAAGGTAGTGAAAGCTGCCTCTTCCGCATCTCCCCATTTCACTAGAAGTGGCTCTCCTTTCTTTGTTCGGTCAGTCAGTGGTACTGCTAATGCTGCGAAGTTGGGAACAAACCGTCTGTAATAACCCACAAGACCTAGAAAGGATCGAAGTTGCTTTTTGGTCTTAGGTCTCGCAGCTCCTTGAACTGCATCGACTTTGTCTTGCACTGCTCGAAGCTCTCCTTGACCTATTCGATGACCAAGAAATTCGATACTTACACATCCTACTGTGCACTTGGTAGGCCTCGCTGTCAAGTTTGCTCTCCTCAGTCTCTCGAACACCTCACGGAGGGTATCTAACCCTAACCCTAACCCGAACCCTAACCCCCCTAACCCTAACCCTAACCCTAACCCTAACCCACTGTAGATACCCAGACGGCAATTGTATATTTTTAGAAGCCATGTATTTTCTCGGGCGCCAAGAGGTAGTACAAAAATAACCCTAACCCTAACCCTAACCCCAACCCCAACCCCAACCCTGCCCAAAACCCCAATCCTAACTCTAAACCATACCTTCACCACCCTTTTCAATGTTTAACCTTCCCATTTGGCTCTCGTTTTCCATAACCAACTTCTCCATTTGTCTATGTCCTCTCTCATTCTTTCTCATCCACACCTCTCCCTTCTCCTGTTCCCTCTAATTTTTTTTCATTGCTCTCTCATAAAGCTCCCCCTTCATGCATAGGGAGATGTGATTCGGTCTAGTGGCATGTTCACTTGGTCAGCTCTCTGTCTTCGCCTACTAACTGGCTCAGGCGGCCCTGGTACGAAATTGAGTCGCGTCTTTCAGATGGCGACGTTAAAGGTTGGTCCCCGGACGTAAATATTGATTGATACACGTCTGTGAAAAAACCCAATTACGCACACATTATGCATGTAAATGCAATCATACTCGAGAAAATAAGGTAGTTCTATGTTTGCTCTTTAATCACATGTGCTTTCATAAACAATACAAAACTGTAACACATTTCCACAAAATTGACCAGGTATTGCACACAATATTTCATTTAGTTTTTAACTAGTATTCATACAATCTAAAGCAATAATTCCATTAAAAGCCAAAGTGGATATTCAACCTAGTTGTGACTTCTCTACCAATTAATCTCTTAACATACAAGACGTTGGTTGTGTGTACCTCCACCACTCACCATACAGGTGGACATACAATCACTAACAGACAGCCTCTCCAACCCCTTACCACTACTACTTAGCAGTTAGCAGGAAAAATGAATTTTGACTTAAATTTGTTCTCTCATCCAAATAATTTTTCACATTATGTAAAAATAACCTACAAGAGTGCCCAATGCTATAGTATTAGAACAGAATTGTTCACACATTCTAAATGATTTATTATAATACACAAGTCTATGGATGTAGATGTCTATGCAGCATATCATTGTTCAATGCTCCCCTGTCCTTCAAAGAAAACAACAAATTAGTTGCTAAGCCTTGTTGGAGAGGCTGTGTGTTTGTGAATCTATTTGGCATAACCGGAAATGTCTAACTATTGCCATAGGGATAGCACTCTGGGGGATACAGCCCCCAAGCTCCCTTGTGGGACATATACCCCATTTGAACAACTTTAGATCTCCCTTTCTTGCAGGTGACTCCTACAAATTTTGGTTAGAATCTAGCCATGAGTTTTCAAGAAGAAGAAAATGTGCAATTACTGCCACTGAGGAACTGAGGGGACACTGCCCTCAGGTTCCGTTTTGAACAATTTTAGAACAATTTTAGATCTCCCTTGCCGAAGGATGATTCCCACTAAGTTTGGTAAAAATCCAGCCATGTCCCTTTGAGAAGAAGTTGAAAATGTAAAAAGTTTATGGACGGACAAAAAGGGATTGCAACAGTTCACCTTAGCCTATGGCTTAGGGGAGCTAAAAATGCATTGATTTTGGAGCTAATCAAAATAACAAAAGAGTACTGGTGCTGGTTTAAAGAGAATTCCACCTATTAACATACAACAAATAATGATCATGTTAAGCTTCATTTCTGCTCAGTCCTCAGTAACATACAGAAAAAATATGTACAGCCCTTTATTATTAATACTACTACATTATTTATATACGATTGCTAAAATGAGCCTAAAAATGGCATACCTTTTCCATTGCCCTATCTGATACTTAATACTTGATTTATTATCAAAATTTGATATTAAAGATAAAGGTGAGTTTGGGTTAAAAAAAGAAAGAAAATGAATTCTCACAGAATCAAACGAAACTTACGCTGAATGTTCAAGATTACAAATAAATGTTATTTGCCAAACAATTTTGGTAGAAAATGTATACTGGCTGAGTAATGAGCATAGAAAGATAAGGAAATCAAGGTAAGAAGCCCCGACACCATTTGTGTTGTCCCATATACATCTTTCTGTCTACAGTGCTTGTTACTTTACCAAGACTCGGTCAAATTTATTATGATTTTGATGACTCCAGAACCTTCACAGTACACACCAATACTTACATGCTACATGATCAACGTTTTCTGATCCATTCCACACCTTTTCTTTCACAATGCAATCGGATAACCAGAACTCACCTTTATCTTTAAGCACAAGTATACACAAATTTAAATGCATCATAGCCACATAATTGGCTCAAGAATTAGCACAATGCACATACATTAATGTATGGAAATGAAGCAAGTCTTTCTTATAAGTAGCATACTATTCATAACAATTGTAATCATTGCCTCATCTGCATATTAAGCCTGCTTTGTCTACATTGTTAATAACATTTAACATTCCACGACACTGCATTAGTTAATTATTTCTTTCTAACTTAAAATTTACATCCATTCCCTACAAAAGTTTGCAAATCAAATAATGAATTCGGTGATGGAAGTTCCTGAAGTCAAGCACCTTAAGAGAAGATATCAATGCAAGAATTAGTTGCTGATCCCAGAATGCAATGGTTACCTGTAAAATAGGGTTCTCAGTAACATAAAAGTAATTACATAAAGGGGTCCTTGTTGTGGGTGCACAACTACTTTATTTCATCTCCTCTAGATGTTCCTGTCCTTCAACATGAACACTGAGAAGTAGACACAGTCACATGAGAACCCTCTATATTGCAATAAAGAATATTAACATAAACTAGAGGGTCCAAACATTTGTATTTGATGCATTCCTTCGATTGACTAAATGCATAACAGATTCATAGGAATAAGGTAATGTTTAGATTTACCTAATGTCATTGTATCCGAACCATGTTTAAACAAACCCTTATTCATCACTAACTAGCAACAAACCTGTAACTAATGGTGGAATCCATATATACCAAGTAGAATGTTCGGTGTTGTCATAAACGATGATGTGAGTTGAGTGGTATATCTCTTTCCTCTCCTAATTCAAAGTAAAGTGTTCAATGGATGTTGTCCTATACGATGATGTGAGTTGAATGGTCTAACTCTTTCCACTCCCCATTCAAAGTAAAGTGTTCAATGGTAGAGCAGGTAAGATCGAATCTACCATATTGACCCAAAGGTTAGCACATGTTGCATGGTACTGTCTTCCTCCATAGCTAAGCTTGTGGCTGTCCTCTGATCTATCAAAAGCTTTACTCCTAGAGTCTACATTCAGAAGGCACACTCCACATGCCTGGGGGGTATTGCTGGGCTCTGGTCTTAACATTGCTGTCTTGAACACAAAGGAACCCTCAGTGGGCTGTGTGAATACAAACAAAGTCCATTAAGTCTTCTAACACCAATGAATATTTTAGATGGTTTATTGACATTACTGGTGGGACAAGATGTACATACATGTCCTGGTTAAAAGAAAATGTTTTCATCAATGTATACATAAATGAAATTCTATGAATCATAAAACTCATCTATGGAATCATCCATATTACATATATTTTCTTACATAGAAATCCTGAAGAAGATTTATGAATATAGGAGATGTAATATTAATTAAATTATGCTCTAGAAATCTTAATCTGCATATTTCTATATTATTTGTAACTAAAGTTCTTCTCAAACAACATTTCTCAGTCATTATAACAAACCATGTTCACTTACCTTTAATGAACTAAGTTGCAGAAACGCAGTAAGATTATGCCAGATCTTGTTAATGTCCTTCTCCAATGTACCCAACACATCGTTGTCAATGCCTAAGACAGGGGCAGATAAAGGACATGCATCATCATTTATCTTCTTGTTTCTACAGCTCACTAAACATTTATTGACCCAGCGGTCTAGAAGCAATGGTCAATAATCATTAATTGACTCAGGGGTCTAGGAGCAAATGAGCAATGGTCAATAATCATTGATTTATTCAGCGGTCATAATCATTCATTGACTCAGCGGTCTAGGAGCAATGGTCAATAATCATTAATTAATCAGCGGTCTAGGAGCAATGGTCGATAATCATTAATTGACTCAGCAGTCTAGGAGCAATGGTCAATAATCATTAATTGACTCAGGGGTCTAGGAGCAAATGAGCAATGGTCAATAATCATTGATTTATTCAGCGGTCAAGGAGAGTAATGGTCAATAATCATTAATTGACTCAGCGGTCCAGGAGCAATGGTCGATAATCATTAATTAATCAGCGGTCTAGGAGCAATGGTCGATTATCATTAATTGACTCAGCAGTCTAGGAGCAATGGTCAATAATCATTAATTGACTCAGCTGACTAGAAGCAATGGTCAATAATCATTAATTGACTCAGCAGTCTAGGAGAGCAATGGTCAATAATCATTAATTGACTCAGCGGTCTAGGAGAGCAATGGTCAATAATCATTAATTGACTCAGGGGTCTAGGAGCAATGGTCAATAATCATTAATTGACTCAGGGGTCTAGGAGCAATGGTCAATAATCATTAATTGACTCAGCGGTCTAGGAAAGCAATGGTCAATAATCATTAATTGACTCAGGGGTCTAGGAGCAATGGTCAATAATCATTAATTGACTCAGGGGTCTAGGAGCAATGGTCAATAAATATTTATTGACCTAGCGGATTTTTTGTCGGTCGTAAAAATAAACGTGTTTAAAAACACAAACATGAAACGCTGAAAAAGATGCGTTTTGTATCATGATTCTGCAGAATCACGGTCGCTAAAATTTGATTGAACGAACGTAGTCTCAATCATGATTCTATCGTGGCCTGTTCCGGTTTGGGCAAAAACCGCGCGCCTGCTTTTCATGCAATTTACGTTCACTATACCATGCTCTTCATCGTGGCCTGTTCCGTTATGTTATTCCTTGTTTTCCTTCCATCATTTTCTCTTTCTGTCTTTCCTTATGTTATTCTTTGTTTCTTCCTTCTATTTGCTTATGTTTTTCTTTGTTTTTTCCTTCTATCACCTTTTCTTATGTAATTCTTTGTTTTAAGCATTTTATCACTTTCTCTTATGTTATTCTTTGTTTCTTCCTTCTATTCTTATGTTATTCTTTGTTTTTTCCTTCTATCACCTTTTCTTATGTAATTCTTTATCTTAAGCATTCTATCGACTTTCTCTTACTGTCTTTCCTAATGTTATTCTTTGTTTCTTCCTTCTATTCTTTGTTTTTTTCCTTCTATCACCTTTTCTTATGTAATTCTTTTTTTAATCAATCTATCACTTTCTCTTATGTTATTCTTTGTTTCTTCCTTCTATTCTTTGTTTTTTTCCTTCTATCACCTTTTCTTATGTAATTCTTTGTTTTAATCATTCTATCACTTACTCCTATGTTATTCTTTGTTTTAATAATTCTATCGACTTTCTCTTTCTGTCTTTCCTTATGTTATTCTTTGTTTCTTCCTACTATTCTAATGTTATTCTTTGTTTTTTCCTTCTATCACCTTTTCTTATGTAATTCTTTGTTTTAATCATTCTATCACTTTCTCTTTCTGTCTTTCCTTATGTTATTCTTTGTTTCTTCCTTCTATCACTTTCTCTTCATTCTTTGTTTTAATCATTCTATCACTTTCTCTTATGTTATTCTTTGTTTTAATCATTCTATCACTTTCTCTTTCTGTCTTTCCTTATGTTATTCTTTGTTTCTTCCTTCTATCACTTTCTCTTCATTCTTTGTTTTAATCATTCTATCACTTTCTCTTATGTTATTCTTTGTTTTAATCATTCTATCACTTTCTCTTTCTGTCTTTCCTTATGTTATTCTTGTTTCTTCCTTCTTTCACCTTCTCTTATGTTTTTCTTGGTTTTAATCATTCTATCACTTCTCTTATGTTATTCTTTGTTTTAATCATTATATCACTTGCTCTTTCTTTCTTTCCTGATGTTATTCTTTGTTTCTACCTTCTATCACCTTCTCGTTCTTTGTTTTATTATTGCGATCTATGCTCAAAACAGCAGTCGACAGTCGGCCGTAAACAATTCCAGAAAGCGCGCCAAGGTTGACTTATACTTCCTGGGTCAACTGCTCAGTGTGATGCGCAGTGGCTGGGCTCGAAATGAGCTAGAATCAGCGTTGATGAAAAATTGCTTGAACGCAAACCGCAGTGACCTTGTTTTTTGTAACGGTGTTTTGATGTGTGATTCATGTTTGTGATTCTAGCTTCGAAAATCGATTGAACGCACCCTAGGAGCAATGGTCGATAATCATTAATTGACTCAGCTGTCTAGGAGCAATGGTCGATAATCATTAATTGACTCAGCGGTCTAGGAGCAATGGTCAATAATCATTAATTGACTCAGGGGTCTAGAAGCAATGGTCGATAATCATTAATTGACTCAGCAGTCTAGGAGCAATGGTCTAGGAGCAATGGTCAATAATCAGAGTTAATGACATCCAATAATTTTGCTTACTTACAAGCATACACATGCTTTCTTAGCAGTCAGGCAAAACAAAACTATCAGAATCATTAATGTGCATGATTTTATTATTCATTTAAGAATACAATGAAAAAAGTAGATATAAAACAACCCTAAGATATAAAATGGACTAAAACCTGTACATACAAAAAGTTATCATAGATATATAGCTACACGAGATAAGACACGTAGATTCTAATTTCTGTACCTGGAAAAGCCTTTACTTCAGACACTTACCCAAGCCTTGGATGGATGTTATTATTCTACAAGCAACTCTGTACACCTCTATGACACCTGTATGGAGACAAAACCAATTATGGATAATCTTATTTGATGCTTATTTCCAACAAAATCTTCTTTTTCTAAATACATTGTAAATTTGCTCTTTCTCTTCTTACATGCATAAATTTGGGTATGTAGTGAAATATAGCACAAAATGCTGCAATCTGAGTAGCATCACCTCTATCACTTTTAAATCAATGATTTTCCAAAGACAATGCTTTACTTAACAGGAAGCACTAGATAACTTTGAATGAAGCTGATACAACTTCAAAGGGTAAAATGCAGAATAGAATAAAAATTGACACATGCAATGAAGTTGAATGAAATAGGATAAGCCACATAGAAAAGGCATATGGAAATGGTACACTAATACAATGCATTTAACATTATTCAAAATGCTTGGCTCCTGCTGTTAAACAACGATTCTTGGAAAAGGTCAAAGGTCAGCTTAATCGCTATGAAAAAGGCTGACAAGAGTCCTTGAACCTTAGATAGATAACGAATATGGTGGGTAGGTCCATCTTTGACATGTTGTAACTTAAATGAATACAAGAGATACACATAGGGTAGTCTAACCTGTCAAATAATCTACACCTGCAGAGGATCCAATAACCTCATTGCAAACTGAAGAGCTACTGATGTTGTTGAAGACAGAGTTTGCTTTGCTCATCACCTCATGACACTTGGTAAGACACTTCTCCCATTCAGATGCATGTCGGCCTTCATCCTGCAGAAAAAAGGTAAGCAAGTAAAGTATACACAAACATGATCTATAGAAAGAAAGCAGTAGAGTATACACAAACATGATCCATAGAAAGAAAACATGATTTGGCATGAAAAAGCACCTTGTGAAAATGAAAGCTTTGACAGTACCATATTATACCTCTCTGTACTATTTCCAATGACAATTCATTGAGTTTGTAGGTAAACTACGTTATGAAAATTTGACACTTCGTAAGAACAATTTTGTAGTAATAATAATTAGTTTGATGCATTGTACTTACAGAAGAGTCCCCTGCTACTTGTGAGTATCTATCCCCAAAGAAGGATGTTTCACTCTGGACTGGAGCAGGGGGAGGGTACCCACTTGCTGGAACTAAACGTGTAGAATCATCTGGAGAGAAAGGACAATACAAACGGAAATATGCAGTTTTTATCATGAACTTATAGAGCCTTTATAAATGAAAGCTCTACAGGTTCATCCACAAATCTGAGTCATTCATGCAGTAGCAAAAGATTTTGAGTAGGAGCTGCCCCCCCCCTACCTACATACATCCAATGAGAAGATTCAACACCAATTAATGTCCATCAAATGATAATCTAGACAGAGAAACCTTCAATTGACAACCAATATGTATTTATAGAAACATTTCACATAAGTTCTTAAGTACATAAACTGAAACTAATAATTTACCTTTTGCAGAAGGAGTATGTTCAGAACTGCTGGCTGAAGTGAAATCCCCAAATGAGTTGACCCTCTCTCTGATGTCATCATTACTTCCTTTAGAGGTTGTATTGGAATCCACTGTCAGGTTCAGGTCATAGTTCTTCAAATCTAGCTCATTGATTGACCCGATCGGAAATGTCTTACTCGTGGTTGTGCTTGGGGTGTCCAGAGTCAGTTCCAATTTATGGGGGCTAGTCCGGGAAAGGTCACCACTGTTCAAATCATCCAAATGTAATCCTGCTTTAGGTGATACTTTCAGTGGCACTACTGTATTAAACTGTGTATCATAGTAGTCTGCTCCTGTGCCATCCATTCCTGGAGTGGTGCCCACATCATCAAAGGGATCCACAGCTGAAAGGTCTCTAAGCACACTGAAGCGATCATCATCTGGAGCATCTTCACTAGTGGGTGGGGATGATGTCATAGGAGGAGGGGTGAGGCGAAACAAAGTTATTCCAGAGGTTGGTTGGACCACAGAGATCTTACTGGGTGGGACCACAGAGATCTTGCTGGATGATCCGGAAGCAGAAGCAGAAGAGCTTGATGTCTGAGGCTTTGAAATTGCCTGAAAATCTCCAAAGAAAGAGTCTTTAAGTTCATCATCTTTATCTGTAACAAAGGAGTGAAGTCCTGCCAAGGAGCTATACTGATCATCGGAATCATTCACGGCTACATCAGCATGCTTTTTGACATCTTTATTGGACTCACTGGTTCTTGAACTGAAAAAGCCTTCAAATTCCTCCTCATGAGGACTTGATGCTTTAACATCTTTGACTTGCTTTTCTGTCTGTGCCCAGTCAGATCCTTCCTTGGGAGGAGAAAAAGCAGCAAAGCCAAGACTAGGCTGATGGGGTTGATCAGTGATTGGTACAGAATCAAACAATCTCCCTTGATTTCCTGGAATATTAATGCCTGTAGTGCCTCCTACAAGAGAAGATGATACAGGAAGGGCTCCTGCTTGCTGGAAATCTGCAAACTCGTCATCCTCAGTCCCAGCCGGACCCATGGCCGGACCCATGGCAGGCTGGTTTACAGTCAAGGGTTCTGAATCAAAGAGCGAACCTCCCATATCTCGCAGAGCCGCATAGCGATCATCCATTTCTTGAAGGTTTGATTCCGATGCAGAGTGTTTAAACTGTTGTCCAGCAAATGATCCCCAATCATCTTTTCTTTTCTGACCGAGTGCAGAGTTTAATAGCTCGCCAGCTGCCTTGAAATCTCCAAATTCTCCAAAGTCATCAGTGCTTGTCCTGAGTTGCTCCTCTGATCCAAAGGGTCTCACAGCACTACTTCCAGGTCTTGTTCCATGCGGCGGGGGAGGAATCGCAGCAAAGGTTTCAGTAGACATTCCTTTGGGTGGAACTAATACTGGTACATGACTAGCTCCTGCAGAAGGTTTTACCTGACTTGTAAGACCAGCTGATAGACCTGGACCAGGCAGGGCTGGTATTGGGGATGGATCAAGCTCTGACTCAGCTGGTCCACTGTCAGGAGGAGACTTGAAATCATCAAAGGACTCATCATCATCACCTTCAGTAGGTGTGTGATCTGCAAGGAAAACGAGATACAAGAATATAAACTTTACTTATCAGTCTTCACTAGACTATATTTGATTTTTTTTTAATATTGTACAAGAACAAATATTAATTATTAAACAACTCAATGATATTACAAAATACCTTTTGAATATTTATCATTGGAAATCGATGTATAATATCTTTAATTAAACTTGACTAAATAACTTTTATGATAACTTACAAAAAATCTCTATCCTAGGCTTAAACATATTTAGGGTAGGACAAACAAAAATCATGTATGAAAAACAATATAAAGTTTCATAGTTTTCATAGTTTTCTTTCATATTTACTGTTATCGTGACTATCTCCATGATGGAATCTGTGTAATACGATGTAATCAGATTTATAACAAATGCTGTAATACAATTTAGGTGAATACGTAGTGTTGAATACAATCGTTTTGCTCACTGGAGCTCTTCTTTCATTGAGAGATTTCAACAGGAACATTATTTATTTTATTTTGTTATTCATACATGTATATTTATACATGTACACAGGATCAGAAATAAATCTGTTTTACATCTTGGACCTTGGACCTTTCAGCAAATGTATAGTTTCTGCCTTGCCAGTTTTAGAAGTGTTAGAAAAATGGAGCTATATAAGATTCAGAAGTTTTACCAATTGAATATTATCAATGGCAATCAGTATGGCTTCAAAGCAAGTCATTCAACAAAGTGTGCATGCCAACACTTTGTTAATTAACAAGATAGTAAAATGAAGGTTAGTTTATTATCTATTGATCCGTTATTCAATGAATCACAGGCAATATTGATAATGAAAAGTCAGCATATCAGAATATAGGATGTGTGAAGTGAACAGATTGGATCTGATCCTCGGACCTTTTAATCATCGTGAATGAAATGAGATTTTGAATTTTTCTGAATTATTAAAAATGTACATTATTTGCTAATGATACAAGAATATAATTTAGGTCTTACAGAAGTGTTTAAACTCTCAAAATAATATCAAAAGAGCAAAAAAAGAAAAAGAAAAGTTAGTTTCTAAGTGATTAAATTCCTACACGCTTACAACTAATATTAAAAAGACTTATCAAATTGTCAAAATCTCCCTTTTTTCAAAAAAAAAGTTCATTAACAATTCTATTAAGCAAGTTTCACACCTCCAAAATTTATGCCAAAATGTACGCCATTTAATTTGTACAGTCAGCTTTGCCAAAGGATTTCAATTTTTTTCTTTTTTTCCGGCCTGCTAGACTACTCATACAATAATATTTATTGTTATTTCTTTGTATTTGTTGAAGTAAACTGTCGTTATTGTTGTGGCAGATGTTGCTGTTGCTGTTCTGGTCTTTTTCTTGCCAAGTTGATTAAACCGCTTAAACATGTAAAATGTTGATACATTGCATGCTTAAATTACTAAAGCTCAAATTAGATCTTCCTCACTTAAAACCTCCTGATTTTGCTAGGCATGCAAACATCTACTAGAAATTTCACTGAAAAAAGTGTTTTGTTATATTTAAATATCAATAACATTATTTTGAAATGGATCTTTAAATATTGGAATATGAATTAAAAACACTGATAATTCTTTTTTTCCGCAATAAAATTTGCCATTTGTCATCAAAGGGGAAAAGGAGCAAACTATAGTAAATGTTATATTGCCATTCACAAGAGACAAAAGCAACTGGCAGTAATGACATCAGAAACTTGTTACTGCTAATATTCAATACAAAGTGATTTTCATTAGCATCAACAATCAATAAATCACAAATATCTGAATAAAAGTATATTCCATATTCATAAATGTATTTTGTTCTTTCGTTTCCCATGTACTTATCAAATGAACTACCAGAACATTCATGCATCTTAAGAACACAAAGAGCTAGGAGATCACAAACAATAACATAACTGTCCATGTATAGAGGGAAAAAAGAGATAGATAATAATTCAATGTGCCATACTGTGTGTTGTTGTTTTTTGCATGCACTATCTGATGACAGGTTCTATTAAGGATGAGAACTAAAACAAAATGATAACATCAAGGAATACAAAATATTCAACCTAACATGCATTATGATGGAAAGAAACATAATATCATCACCAATTTGAAGAAAATAAAATTACAAAAAGTTTGGAATACACAGAAAATTAGATATGGCTCAGATCATGTTGAAGTGAAGCACACTGTACCACAAGTTGAAACTACATACTTTTAGGATTTTAATAGCAACAAAATATTTCAATTTGTTAAGAACAAGTTTTTTTAAACCAAACATACACTTGCATGTACAAAAAATAGCAGCTTTATACTAGTAGGCAGGCACTCTCAACATAACAAACACAGACGAAAGGTCTCATTTGAACAAGGTCATTCTCTCTCTCTCTCTCTCTATTTCTTTTTCTTTCTTTTTTTTTTAATTTCAAAACTATGGTGAAGCCACTACCAAAAACCTGGCTGTATAAAAATGTCATTTACAACAAGACAAAAGAAAAATATCACAAAAATGTCCATTTGAATTAGATACACCAAAACACCAAGTCTATATTTTCATGAAGAAACCAAGATGGTTTTCGAAGAATCAATAATCTAATATTCCTCACAATGGGGAAAGGTCATATGTACTCACAGCATTTTGACCTCATAATATTCCTCACACTGGGGAAAGGTCATATGTACTCACAGCACGTTGACCTCTAATATTCCTCACAATGGGGAAAGGTCATATGTACTCACAGCATTTTGACCTCTTAATATTCCTCACACTGGGAAAGGTCATATGTACTCACAGCACGTTGACCTCTAATATTCCTCACACTGGCAAAAGGTTATATGTACTCACAGCACGTTGACCTCTAATATTCATCACACTGGGGAAAGGTCATATGTACTCACAGCACGTTGACCTCTAATATTCCTCACACTGGGGAAAGGTCATATGTACTCACAGCACGTTGACCTCTAATATTCCTCACACCAGGGAAAGGTCATATGTACTCACAGCACGTTGACCTCTAATATTCCTCACACTGGGGAAAGGTCATATGTACTCACAGCACGTTGACCTCTAATATTCCTCACATTGGGGAAAGGTCATATGTACTCACAGCACATTGACTTCTAATATTCCTCACACCGGAGAAAGGTCATATGTACTCACAGCACGTTGACTTCTAATATTCCTTACACCGGGGAAAGGTCATATGTACTCACAGCACGTTGACCTCTAATATTCCTCACATTGGGGAAAGGTCATATGTACTCACAGCATTTTGACCTCTAATATTCCTCACACTGGGGAAAGGTCATATGTACTCACAGCACGTTGACCTCTAATATTCCTCACATTGAGGAAAGGTCATATGTACTCACAGCACGTTGACATCTAATATTCCTCACACTGGGGAAAGGTCATATGTACTCACAGCACGTTGACGTCTAATATTCCTCACACTGGGGAAAGGTCAAATGTACTCACAGCACATTGACCTCTAATATTCCTTACACCGGGGAAAGGTCATATGTACTCACAGCACGTTGACCTCTAATATTCCTCACACTGGGGAAAGGTCATATGTACTCACAGCACGTTGACCTCTAATATTCCTCACATTGAGGAAAGGTCATATGTACTCACAGCATTTTGACCTCTAATATTCCTCACACTGGGGAAAGGTCATATGTACTCACAGCACGTTGACATCTAATATTCCTCACACTGGGAAAAGGTCATATGTGACCAAACTGACCATGCACCACAAAACGACCAAAAAGTCATCAGATATTATTATTTCTAGTTGAGGTTTGATTCTAAATGAGATTATTCTCGATTCAAACTTACACATATCACCAGAATCAGATGTTCCCAAAACACTTTGTAAACATAAAGAGTGTCCGGTCCCATAGAATTTAAGGGATCCGGTAACATTGTCTTAGATCCTTTTAAAAAATCTCTGATTTAGCTCATGCTGCAATGATAATTATAGTCGGTCAGGAACCCTGTGACTTTTACAAGCCGATTGCCTGTCTGATTATCAAGATATGTATGATTGAAAATCAAAATCAAATTTTGTGTTTGCCAAATGGTTTTCATAACACTACAGTCTACTATGGAAAACGAGTATGGTAAAACCGGTCACTCAAAGATTTTTACTTTTTTGAGGCACTTCTTGATCATTTTGAAGCGCAATTTTTTAGGGCTTCAATATAACACCATATCACAGACACTGATAACATGTAGGGCCGTGCATTTCAAATTTAACATTGTCAAACGATCCCTTTAATGATCACAGAATGTTTAATATTTTGGAGTTTATTGAAACACATTGACCTAAAACTAATGATTTTGTGCACTGGACAAAATGAGGATTCTAATTCAACAGAATCTTCTGAGAAGAGATTATCAGACTTTTCTACAACTTGTCACACTGTTTCAGCCTGTTCACTATTATGCCCGAGTATCAATGCACCACCTATGGGAAATTAAAATGAGACCAGCACAGAAGCAAGCGTCAAAGACAAACTCTAGATCAGATAAACATGGATTCAAGCCCTCTCCATGACATTCAGGTGGCTTTCGCATCAGATACACATTGCTAAGACGATGCAAAAAATGGATATGTAAAAATAGGTTAAAAGATCTAAGGCCAAAGACAGACAGAGTAGGTTAAGAGATCTAAGGCCAAAGACAGACAGAGTAGGTTAAGAGATCTAAGGCCAAAGACACAGAGTAGGTAAGGCAGGAAGTGAGTAAAAGAGATATAACAAAAATAAATGACAAAAAGGTCAGAAAGACATATATAGACATAAAGCCAAAGACACACTGATAGACGGACAAATAAAAGAACAGACAGACTGGCAATCATAAATGTAGAACAGACATATATTCAGCTAAACAGAGATACAGATAGACCCCACAGTCAGCCATAACGCAGATAGACATAACGGAAATAGACATAAAAATGTACAGAGACAGACAGGGAGTAATAAATCAAATCAGACAGACAGACATTTAAAAAAATATATTAAAAAATAGCACATTTACACACAAAAAAGTAGTAGGAGAGAGAGAGCAATAGGCACACACACACAGTCACAGACAGGCAATCTGACATCCCCATTTCAAATGTAAAACTCTCAAAAACTGCCATGCAAAACCTTGCATGAAAATGAAAGGCAAACAGCATGAAGGGGGGGGGGGGGGTAGCTAGGTACATCATCAACCTCTAGGCATATTAACTGATCTGTGTGTTATTTGGTTTGTACTAAAGACTATTTAATACATGTATATCCCTTTTCCTGTTCTATATATAACACATTATTTGATCTATGATACGTAATATGTCATATATCTCTAAATGTCCTCTGAAGAGAAAAAAGTCTGTTTCACTCTAATAATCAAAAGAAGTGGCTTGTAGAGAGAAAATAATGCGATGGTTGTGATATCACATGTGCATGAGCACACTCCTTAGGGGAGATTCCCATTGGGTACGGGAATCTGGTTGTCCCTGTATTAAGCCTATGGGAATCAGATAATTCAAGAGTCAATAGGTTAATAGCGATCCCAACACTACAAGATTCCTTTGTGGCCTGGTCTCAGTCTGATTCTTTCTCAAATACTTTTGACCCCGATAAGTTTCAGTGACTTTTCTGCTTCAACTAAGCCAATTTCTAAAAAGAGACAAATACCTTTATAGAGAAAGAGAAAAGGGAAGGTGAAGTGAAGTGAGACACTAGATTAAACTATTTCCTTGCCCTAATGCCTTGTTTCTGGAACAAAATATCTTACTAATCACACTAGTACAAATATATGCTACTTTTCTTAACAATGAATAATCTACTAAATAGAAACAATTGAACAATATAAACACTACGATATTGAAGAAGATATCCACACAAGGTAACCATGGATACCATGGAAACAAAAGCTGACTAAAGGCTGCTTCAATAAAAACAAACACTGCATAAAATAGAGGGTATGAGGTAATGTACAATCCACTTGATATTGACATGCATGATGCAAGACAGAGGCCAGGAAGTGATACAAAGGGTCACCACCATGAAACGAGAGGTCAACTGAACAAACCTGAGAGAGAACTTGAGGAAGCAGAGTCGTAGGAACGCGTGGTCAACTTGTCGTATATCGTGTTCTGGTCCCAGATAAAGGGGGAGCTCCGCCCACTTGATGGGGCGGGAGAATTGGCAAAGATGTAGCAATTCTCCTCTACCCATGCCACGCAGTGTTTGATAATGGGGAACACATGTAAGGTCTCAAATTACGGATCAATAACAAATATCACACTTATAGATCATTCAGTGTGTACAATTTTGAAAAATTTTAGGGTTTGCATTCCTGGAAATATGATGTTTGTCAAAAATGCAATCATGATTATTAAAAATATTGAACAGCTGCTTATGGAAATATTATTCAAAGAAGGGATACATGAAATTTATCAAACCTGATAAAAGAATAAGTGTGACACAAATTCAAAACAACCTAGAATACACATTAGTAGAACAACTTTTAGAAGAAGAAGGAAAGAAAAAGAAAGAAAGAGTGAATCACCACTGCATAAGTATACTTTAATCCTCAAGCTTTGAAGAATCATTGGGTAGGAAAGATTGTATTTTTCTGGATGAAGAACATGAAAGAGCAAGTATATATATTGAATAATCAACAAAAGTAAAGTATACATTGTTTAATATGCAACTAATCCTTTCAGTGCCATTGGTGGCTAAGCCAGTTTAATTTTAAATTCATCAATAAATAAACCAAAGTAGCTCATTTTTTTAGACTGTTAAATAATAATCCTCATCGAAGACCTCTTTCATGAAATCTAATTTGTAATACATGTATGTAAACTTAGTGGTTAACCGTGGATTAAATGGAGTCATTTATATGCAAAGAAAAATTCTAAAATCTTATCTTTGTTTTCTTTTTCAACCCATGATACTCAAGTCAGGACAACCTTATGCTTTTCTTTCTTGCAAAAATACAGTACCATAGGGTTAGACCAGGCGTGTTGAAAGCAAGTCTGCACAAGTGACTTGAAAGACAAATTTGGCAGCATTTTGAGAAATCTTCTAACATAACCAAATTTCCATGTATTTTGTACATAAACCTATGAAAAACTTTTGCTCCATTTTAGCCTGACCCGCAACTATAATTTGTCATTGATTTCATTGTATAGAGTAAACTTTTTTCACAAAAGTTGCACAATTAGAATATTCCTGAATGTGTGCCATGATATGTGGCAGTAATGCAGGACCTACAAAGATTGTATAACAGGTTTGAAATCACCCCTCCATTGACTATGAGGAGACTGAGGACCAATTACCAATTTATAGTTTGCTCTGTATTGCTTGGATCATAAGTTTAAAATATTACTTCTGTAAGGGATAGTGCATGTATGAATACTGTCATTATACTCAAAATGAAAGTTAAATACTCATAAGTACACTAGTCAACATACTCTTCTACATACGCATGCATACACAATTCAACTTTGAGTACATAAATCCATGTGAGCCATGACACTCTTAAATCCTTTAACACTAAAATGTCTTGTTTGGGGAGTATATTTCTATCTTTTAACAATACAAGAATTATTTTTCCTTTTTTGGTGCATGAAATCAAATCTATTCAACAATCAGACAAGTATTTCCATGCGTGTAACTTAATTCCTTCAAAATTCTGTGAATTTGTAAGTTTACTCTTCCTATGTTGTCAGAAATACAAGAAAATTGCATCATAGGCATAATTTCACAAGATAACTTTTACATAATGGTGCCTTTTTATTATTGATTGTCTTGCATGATACAAAAAATGTCACATTGTAAAAAAACTTGAGTATCAATTCTACATTTTTTGAATAATTTAAAAGTTTCCTTGTCCTAAATACAATAAACAAACTTTTGCATTCTACCAAAGTATGGGACTGAAAGGAAGGCATATAATCATCTACTAAATAAACTACCTAAAGCCACTATAAAAGCTATAACCCCTTGCCTGCACAGATTTACTATTGGTTTTCAGACACATGCTTAGAACAGAAAAATGAGACAATTCAGCAGACCTGGAAAAGGAGTACAATATGTGAAGAAGAGGTGAAGAGTTAGTAGAATTAAAACACTTTACACAAGTCACATGAAATATATCTGCAGAGAAATACGGACAACTATATCAATATGTACACACCAGCAGTCAGTAGTGATTAAGCTCAGAAAACAAACTGAAAGTCAACCTACCCTTCATCTGGCAATAGACTGTTCCATGAGACATTACATTGAATATGAAATGGGCTGTTCCATTATAAATCAAAGGGTTTAAGTAGACTAACCTTGCATGTAGGCTGGTGATGATGAAGTTTTGTTAGAAGCTGACGAGGATGGAATGACAAGAGATGTCAGGGTTGTAGCAGGTTTCTTTCCTGCTTTAGAACTGCTCTCTGTAAATTTGCCTGTTTCAATCAAAGTAAACCACATACCTTGTTTATTTTATACAAAATTATATGCGAACTGCAGAGTTTGTATATATAAGTAAATTACGAGAAGTGTATATATTTCCATTCGAAGGAAACAATTTGAAGCACATATGTACATACCCTTTAAACATAAGTAGCATGGATATTGCTATGAATCAGGCAACCTTTGATAAATGAATTTAACCTTGGTTTATGAATAAAAACCTTGTGGCATGGTCCATTGCTATATTTGGGAAAGTAGAAGGTCACATTTCCCAGATACTCTACTGACATAGATGAATTTCAATGGTAAAAACAAATGGGGAAATTTTGTATGAATTATTTCGAATTAGAAATTTGACCATATGAGATGGAAAATGTTCACACAATTCAATAATTTCACTCTAATCATCTACAATAAATGTTCTGATGAAGAAGTTGGAATAAGATAGGATTCAAACTCTTGTATTTATGTTTACAAATTGATTTACAATACTGCCCCATCTTATATTGCTGATGCTATTATTGACACTATGGTCCCTCACTTGGTCTTTTTTTTCTTTAAAGAACACTACTAGACTTGTTATTCCCAGTTTAAATCTTTCCCCTAACAAAAGAATCCTCTATTGTACTGCCTTAGAACTTAGAAAATGTCAAATGCTCAATAAAAGCAAGATTCCGGGTACATTATACCCACCTGACCCTAACCTTTACTTACTGATTGAAGGAAGGACACTTGTCATATACCTAGTTAGTAAAACCTGTGATACATTCCTTGAGCATAGCACATTACATAGCACCATTACTCACTGATTGAAGGAAGGACGCTTGTCATATACCTACTTAGTAAAACCTGTGATACATTCCTTGAGCATAGCACATTACATAGCACCATTACTCACTGATTGAAGGAAGGACGCTTGTCATATACCTAGTTAGTATAAACTGTGATACATTCCTTGTGATAGTACATCACATAGAACCATTACTCACTGATTGAAGGAAGGACGCTTGTCATATACCTAGTTAGTATAAACTGTGATACATTCCTTGTGATAGTACATCACATAGAACCATTACTCACTGATTGAAGGAAGGACGCTTGTCATATACCTAGTTAGTATAAACTGTGATACATTCCTTGTGATAGTACATCACATAGAACCATTACTCACTGATTGAAGGAAGGACGCTTGTCATATACCTAGTTAGTATAAACTGTGATACATTCCTTGTGATAGTACATCACATAGAACCATTACTCACTGATTGAAGGAAGGACGCTTGTCATATACCTAGTTAGTATAAACTGTGATACATTCCTTGTGATAGTACATCACATAGAACCATTACTTACTGATTGAAGGAAGGACGCTTGGTACCCTAGGAATGGTGACAGCAGCAGTCTTTGGGGCTTCCTGGAATGGAGCAAAGTCCTCCTCCTCCTCCTCATCAATCTTTGTGCCTTCTTGGTGGGGTTGTGTTGATGGTGGCTGATGAGAAGCAGGTTGTTGGGCAGCAGTGGGGTTGAGCTGGGGGATAGGTGCTTCTGGTAGGCTGCACAGAGCTGCAATAGATACCTCCTGGCCTCTCTGATGAATGGAAGCAAGCAATAGCAGGCATACATGTATGAGGAGGTTAGAGGATAATGGGTTCTAAAAGCACTGTACAAAGTTTATATAATATACGTCTTTAAACAGAGAGCAGGCAACTTTTCATCGAAGAATTACAGACAGCATCTCAGATTTTCTGTGATGTTTTAACTTTTTTTTGGTGCATTTGTTTGTAGCAGGATGTAACGTCCTCTTGAGCCAAAGAAACAGCGATGCCTCTCATAGCAGTCAATATATCTATCATATAGCCTCACACTCAGTAAACAAAGTAGCTAAAACATTGTTATTTTCAAGTTCCAAGCAGTCTTGAAGCATTTCAGTAACTTCTTTAACAGATATGAATGTATTTCATATGTGTGCTTTATGTACATTTTCTGAACATTACTGTAAAAATACTAGTAAAATAAATGGTTTGAAGTAGTATGATTGCTCATATTTGTCATCTTTTTCAATTAAATTTTAGAATAAGCAATCAGCTTTAACACAGGAGTTTGGTGAGCCCCAACTTGTCTGTTCCAGTGAGGAACCCCTGTATTAAAGTTTGTAATATCTGAATTGCTCCATGTGAAATATTATGACTACAAACCTGAGCATGAGCAATAAGAGCCAATCCCATGTAAAGCTCTTGAGCCACCAGCTGACCAGGAAGTGCGTAGTTGACCATTGACCAGATATGACCAAGCAAAGGACGGTCCAGTCCAGAGAGAAGGAGTATAGGGTATAGAAGGTTGGTTTGTATGGCTCCATCATTGGTAGATGCCTCGAGGACTTGATGATAGACCATTGGCAATGAGGACTCATTCTGAAGCCTGCAAGACAAACATTGATAAAAGATTCTTCTTGACAGAGGATGCATTGTACGACTGGCTTCTATAAATTTAAAGAGATAGTCTACCCCGATATAAAGTTGATTTTAGCACTAACAAAATAATTAATTTATGTTTCCTCTTACATAAATTTCCATCTTACATATGCCCTAGATATAAATCATTGCACATATTTTTTACACAACCATATGAAAGTATCTATTCCTTCATCAATGGAGACAGGATGGCTCAGTGGTAGAGCAGAGGTCTCATGATCCAAGATATGCTTTCTTTGTTGTAAGGTAAAATAAATCATTAATAAAGATTTCACACTTTGATTCTTCTTCCTCAAGTTTAAACTCACCAGTTTGGAAGTTGACCAGGATTTTGATGTTGCTGGAATGCAGGCAATGTTACAGGCTGCCCAACATCACTTTGGCCCATTCCTCCTTGGACAGCGGTTATGGGATTCTGCTGCCCTCCTTGGGCTGCAGAGGGAAGGGTGAAGAGTGTGGTCAAGTCTTCACTCTCCCGCTGCCATAACCTAGACTTGTTACTTGGTGTGAAGGTACTAACCGACTTATGCTGGATGGTTGTATGATCCTTGACTTCATTTAGTGATGGTTTCTGGTTGAATCGTTTACGCTGTTTCTGGGATTCAGAGAGATCTGTAGACTGCTTCATCATGTTCTCTAAGGATGACCCTGGTAATATGAACGGTATTTCAGGTTTTTATCATGAAATGAAAGGAAACAGTTGGGATTGCATATTCATGTCCATTCAAATAAAAGGATATAATCATGAATTAAACGAAAATTTTCAGAAAGGTCTGAAGGTACAATTATATCATTAGCATTTTTGTCCAACTTAAAACATGTAATATGAACTGAAACATATTTTTCACATTGCTAGTCATTAAAGTGTAACTCAGGTTTATATTTTCTCAATGTGAACATGTAATGAAGAGGTCATATAATTTATCCCATCAATCCTGTAAGTATAAGGCTGGAATGATATTAACCACATACCCATGGCCTTTGGATCAGCCTTTGGATCAGAGAATGGATTCTCTTCTACTTGTTTCTTATCATGGTCTTGCTTCTGTGTGTCTGAGTCACTCTGAGGGGCACTCTGAGGGGCACCAGGCCCTCCTCCGAGGAAGTCTCCAAAGCTATCATCATCACCTTCTGATGGTAGGGCTTGTGACCCAGGCTCCACTTTCAGTTCAGTTACAGGATGTACAACAGACTCTAAAATGTTCAAACCAGAAATACAGAAACGCTAAGAGACTGAAAACTCATTCGGATTATGATGTGATATCTGTCATTTCATGTGCTTCATTGAGCTTCAACAAATTTCTTATGTTACATTTTTAGAAATTTTTAGTTATTTTTTAAATAGATTTGTGATGCATAGCTTCATCTGAGCAGCAGCTAACCAATTTGATTGGTCTTTTTGAGAGGCTCCTTACAGAGACTGCGGGTGTTGCTAGCTGTTAACAATTATCTTTTAATAATAATAATAATATTTTAAAGTCCACTCCAAATTTTATTAGGTTAAACCGAAAGGGACTTTTTTTTTTGCCCAATTGATAATGAGCCCGGCAGCCACTGAGCAGCGCCAGATCAACGTTACTCTATCCCTTATTGTTGAACGCCAAACAAGGTAGCAGCAACTCCCGTCTTTTAACGTCTTTTGGTATGACGCGGCCGGGGTTTGAACCCACGACCTCCCGGTTGTGAGGCGGACGCTCTACTGAGCCAACACACCGGTTTGATATCTGAACTGGCTATTGTAAGTAATTGCACAATATACAGTGTCTATATAATAATTGTATTGTTCCCAAACCTGAATTTGAAGGGGCATGGAGAAACTCCCCAAAGTCATCTTCTTTAGTTTGACCCCCGCTAGATGTCAATGGTGCAGCCTTCTGAAATCCACTGAATCCATCATCCATACTTTGAGAATGAATCACGGTGGGTGTAGCACCAGCTGGAGGATTCTGTGGTTGCCTAGCACCTAAAACCACACCCTGCATTCCAGGATGATGACCTTGTGGAATAAAACCAACCGATTGCACAGGCATGCCTGGAATAACAAGAAGCCAACAAGAAATAAATCTATGCATTTACCAACACTTCTCTGGTGACACGTCCATATTGCCAACAGGGTATCGGCCATACTGCCAACAGGATATCGGCCATACTGCCAACAAGAAAATAAATCTATGCATTTACCAACACTTCTCTGGTGACACGTCCATACTGCCAACAGGGTATCGGCAATACTTACGAGATACATATAATGTCTTTACATGGAATGACAATTTGGATTTAAGCATTAGATACTATTGATAATCTTGTTCGTGAATATAAAAGACTTCTGAAATTATTATTGGCTACTTTTGCTGTTCAATTTTCATGTTCATGTACAGGTGTACAGTACATGCAAATATCATATAAAAAATATCAACTTTATTCATCCATGTATTTTCATTTTCACTGTGTGGAGGATGTCTGCAATTCCTCGAAATGGACACAATAAATCTTCTTGAAACTTGTACATTTACTTGGGCTTGGAAGGAACTGATCTAGTAACACTTTTGATGTCATCAGGTTATTGTGATGCCATCTGTATGTAATTTTGTCAATAAATTAGCATCAAGAAATTGAAACACATCTTTTTAACAGAAAGTCTCTGCTACTCGTATTAAGCATGATCAGAGACTATGTCATCATCTGCAATTTTGTGTCAATAAACATACTTGTGTTGTCTGTGCAAGACAGCACCTATGAATTTAAAAAGGCTCAAAATTTAACATTTTGAATTTGTTTCAAAACACTCAATTACCATGTTGATAATGTATTCCTGGTGCTTGGACCATGCTCGGATTCTGTTGAGTTTGTGGTGTCATTAAGCTCTTAGATAAGAGGTCTCCCATGTCAAGGCTCTTGGATCCCATAGAAGACCTCCCACCAGAAGAGAACTCCTTCAACTTTCTCTTCTGTTCTTCTCGAAAACGATCCTTCCTCTCTTGCTCCTCTTTCTTTTTCTGTTCCTCCAACATCTTCTTTTGTTTTTCTGCATATTTCCTACCAAAAAAAAAAATACCATTAGGCTTGGGGATCCCTCTTCATCTTCAAACTCTCTCAAACACTCATTCTTTGCATGTTGCTGATAACATGAAACATCACAATCAAACTTCCAAGTAATACAGGTATTATGGTTAATATGACAATCTCTGCTAATCGTCTGTTCAATAGATTAAGCAGAGATTCTATTTTCAATCATTCATTTTACTTACTAGAAATGTTCAGGATACTGTACATGTCGTATTTCAGCATGACAATAATTACATCATTTGATAAATGGAGCGAATAAAGAGCAAAATCTAGTAAATTAATGAGGCTAAAACTTCCTTTCTCTCTTCTCCTTCTTCTTCTGACTCCCATTCTTTACTTTCTCTTCCTATTTCTCCTTTTTTTCGCATCCATCATCCATATCATTTCATTGCTTTTGTCTGTATATTTTGCTTTTAATTATTATACTTCTACCTTATTATAAAAGACACTGTGTCAAAATTATTTTGAGGAACTTAAATTCTACAAGCTACACATGTACGTATATGCTCTTTATTAAGTTCTTTTTTTCATATGTAATTTCGAAATTATTTAGTATGCAATACAAATTATTTGCTCTGAACAAATACGATGTGTTAATTTTCTTTAGTTCTTCATTTACAGTAAAACACAGTTTCAATATTGTTACCAGATAGAATCATCCTCTATGATACAATTTTATTACCACGGTTTAGGTCAATGTTCTCAAATGGTACCCAGATCGTGAAAACAAGGCTAAAAAATCCAAAAATTTCATGGAATTGACCTTTTGACATACTAATCTATTCAGTTTGTCTCCCTATGATGTGGCATGTTACCACCAAGTTTTAAGTTCATGCCTCCAATGGTTATGAGATATCATGTAAACAGGGCTAAAACCTTAAATTTCAGAAATTGACCTCTATGACAATCAACTTTTGACCTATTTACCTCAAAATTGAATCAGATCGTTGTTTGAAGTTCATATTTCAAATGGTTTTTGAGATATCAGGCTAAAAAAAAAGCAGGACAGACAGACAACCCAAAAGCATTATGCATCCAGCAACAACCCAGGCTTCCTTTTTTCATTTGAAATACCAGGTTCCCTGAATTACATGCACACTTACTTGAGTTGTTCTGGTGTCATATTCTGCTGAGTCTGGATATTCTGCTGACCAATGCCAGGTATGATCCCTGCTTGCTGACCAACTCCTCTAGTCATCATACCTGGCTGGATTACCCCTGCTTGACCAATGAATGGACCTTGCTGCATTACCATCTGACCATATCCAGGTGTTGGCTTTAAAGAAAAATACAATTCCTTTAATAGTAAATAATATGTTGACATCTCGTTCCACATCACAATCTATGAGGTGAAGTGACTGAACATGCAAAGGAAGTTTGAAACCCCCTTAGTCTTTATATTCTATTCATCAGTCAGCATTGACTTTGCTAATCTTTCTGAAATATCATATTCTGCTTTCCAAAGTCAACACAAATCACCACTGGATTTACAAGACAACTAGACCTATGACTGAGTATTGAGTTAATGTAAATAAAAACAATGGTAATGCAATGGGTTCTAATTAACATGCAAAGGTGACAACTCTCCTCTACACAGGGCTTTATTTATTTATTTATTTATTTATTTCTGATCTTTTGACAGGGTAGCCCATTCACCAGCAAGTAGTGGTCTTCCATGGGGCCCTGAATGAACATATTTACATCGTTTATAACATTTATACAGAACAGTTACAAAAATAATACTCGTTTGCAAAATTAACATATATCATTAACCTAGTAAGCAGTAATGTCAATAGGAAAATATTAATTTCATGTAACATTCTACCAGAGGGATGAAATGTTTTCCACTGCAACATAGCCTGTGTCTATGAAACAGGGGAGGGGCACATAACACACAATGTAGGCTTCAGTCACCAATCTGGGTTGGATTCAAACCCACTATCTTAGGTTCGACAAGCAGTGCAGACGTACTACTGTATCAGGGTTTACCCATGTTCCCCTACACTTCCACAAAGAGTACATGTACAGTAATTGGGTTCTTAACCTCTTTACATGTAGGTGGTGATTCTCCTACACACAAGAACTCCATTTAACATCCTATCAGAGGGATAGAGTGTTTTGCTATTGTAACCAGCATGCATGTTTATTAACACACAATGCGGACTGCAGACATCCATCTAGGCTGACTTCGAACCCAAGATCATTAGTATGACAGGCAGATGATTTATCAGCTGAGCAAACCTTCCCTCTGCTCTTTTCCTTTTTTTTTTTAAACCGTGTGATTTGAAAAGTAGTTTTTACATCACAGATTGTTTTTGTTTTTTAATTATCTCTCACTTACGTAAATTCCTGCAACAGGCTGACTATGATACATGTGGGGAGCCATTCCCCCAGTCTGTCCCTGTGGTTGATGTTGCTGAGGTGGCTGTTGTTGGTGCATCATATGAAAGCTCTGCTGCTGTTGCTGCTGAGGTGTACCCATTGCGAACTGTCCCTGGATATTGGTCATTCCACCAGGTCCTGGTGGTACACGATAGTTCCCTGAAGGCTGGGAGCCATAGGGAGGTCTGATTATAAAGAACATACATAAAATGATGGATGTGCATGCCATATGTAAGTACATAGCACAGCATTGGTGCCTATTACTTATTAATTTATCAGTAATACAACATGCTTGGTCAGAAAAAAACAATTGAAATTGACTGAGTTTTAGACAAAAATTGTCAAACACAGACATAAAATCATAGAAAATGTAACTTTAAAATTTCAATCCAAGCATTTTGTTTAACATTGCCAAAAACTTAACAAGAAAATTAAAATACATACAGGTGTATAACAATTAACATGTGCAGAAAATACCAACAGAATGGCTGAGAGGTTTGATTCTAAGAAATACAAAGAGATTAGTAATAGTATTATACTTATTAGCATTGAGTGGTGAAGCCTGGGAGCAAGAGGGGATGGATGTATATGGGACGTTGAGGAGCTTGATAGGTTTTGTTATCTTGGGGATACAATCAACAGCGGTGGTGAATGCGAAATTACATTCACTTGGCAAGAAGATGCAGGTTGTGGGTTAATGATGTTTAATAACTTACAAGAGCGTCTAGTATAAAAAGGTGCACCCAAGGGAGTTTACTAAATTCAGTGAACTACGTGTGTGTGCAACTGTGCATAGTTTAGTACACTACAGCAATCACTATTATTATTAATATAAAGACAGCATCAAAGTGGCAATGCAAAATCAGGCATTTTCATGTACGTCGCATGCATTTGCATTTGCAGATGAACCAATAATGCTCAGAGGTCAGCGTTTTTGTAATGAAAAGCTACAGTCACAAGGATTTGTACAAACGATGTGAATCTCCCTGTTCGTAAGATTAAGAATTCCCAGAGTTTGTAAGAGATTCATAGATGGGGCAGTCTAGTTTGTTATGTCCTTCTTACTCACGGCGTTCATACAAACGCCGTTTAATTTTGATGGTTGTATGTGTAACTCATTAACTGACTGCATTCTCAAGTCTTTCTTAAGAAGATCTTACAAATGTTGTGTACCCTCCCTAGACTATCCCCAATCCTTACCCTAACCTTAAAATTTAAATCCGGCCCCAAATAATTTAAGTATGTAGTTCTAGAATCTACTTAGGCCAGCACTTGCATTGTGCAGCGGTTTGCCATTAAACCTTTGAAAAAGTGAATTACTAATATCAATGTCTTTCCGAAAAATACTCCAAAAATAACAAGAAAATTGACACGAAACAGGTAATAAACATAACAACCTTTAACTCATGATCTTTATTTAAACATTGATGAATATTTACTTCATTTTGGGTATGTTTTGGTGGGGTATCTCCACTACGGAGTTACGGGTCAAATTTTGGATAGTCTAGACTTCTGAACAAGCGCCCTGCTACCTAGATACTACTTACAGCTTTATTTTATTTGCAAACCTGTCCAGAAAGAAATAGATGAAAATGTGAAGAAAATTGAAAACTGTATAGCTGATGTAAGGAACTGGATGATTGAGAGTCGCTTAAAACTAAATGATGCAAAAACAGAATTCATTTTGCTTGGCAACAGTAGACAGCTCAGTAAAATTAAGGTTTCTCATGTTCAAGTTGGTTCTGTCCCTGTATCTCCTGTACATCAAGCTAGGAATCTTGGTGTAATATTTGATTCTGCCATGTCGCTCGAAACCCATATTTCAAATTGTGTTAAACTGGCCAATTGTAATCTACGTAATATCCGTGCAATTAGGCAATATCTCTCACCTCAATCCACCCAACAGTTAGTACATGCTTTTGTTACTTCGCACCTTGATAATTGCAATTCATTACTCTTTCGACTACCCGCCAACCAAATTAACCGATTGCAAAAAGTTCAGAATGCTGCTGCTCACCTTGTAACTAACACCAGAATATCATCACATATCACTCCTATCTTGAAATCTCTGCACTGGCTCCCTGTTCAACAGCGTGTGATATATAAAATTCTACTCTTAACCTAATGTGCACTAAATGATCTAGCTCCAGAATATATTTCATCCCTTCTATCACCCCACTCTGCAGGTCGTTCTGGTTTACGTTCATCACATAATATTAGACTTAAAGAAATACGTACCAAAAGAAATTGGGGGGATAGAGCATTTGCATCAGCAGCTCCTTCTTTGTGGAATAAGTTACCTTTCTCTATTCAGACGGCCAACACTCTCTCTACTTTCAAAACTGGGCTTAAAACTCACCTGATGCTCAATGCATATTGTTAAATTTCAATGTTCTTTTTATACAATGCATGCAAAACAAACAATCGCACTGTGCCACATTGTATGTACCTTGGCACCATGAAGTTGTATGATCTAATGCAAGTTAACATTTAATATTTCTTTAATCTTAAGTATGTTAAATATTAATTTAAATTATTTGTATGCGCCTTGAGCATCTCTAGAGATGGATATGTTGCGCTTTATAAATATTGTTATTATTATTTATTATTATTACCTAGGCCTAGATCTAACCCTAACCCTAACCCTAACAATTCGCAACTATTCTTGTTCCAGGCTTTTGGGCGCTAGTGTAGTTCTGTATCCTTTTTTTTTAGCAGTTTAATATCCATGCTTAGCAAAGGAATTTTAGCCCAATTCAATTGTTTACTAATTTTAATCATAATCATACATGTGTATATTGCATTTTCCATCTGAATTTGGATCACATCCGACATCGGGAAACCTCCATTTAATTTAGGGCTTCGATGTCAACGACGTCGCTCAGTACCGTCTCAACGCTATAGGCCCGCACCTCAAACTGAAGCTGTCAGTCCAAAATTATGCAAACTTCTTGCATTTTATGGTAATACGCGCATGCACGATACCATAACCCATACAAGAAGTTTGCATAATTTTGGACTGATAGTGATAGAGTAAAGGAGCCGGTAATAGGCCAGCTCCAGTTTTCGGCTGATTGGTTGGATGCAAGGTAAAATCACTCTAAAATACATCGCATAATAGCATAACACATATCCCACACATACCATACCATGCCAGTGTCACTGAAGAACCACATTTGCAATGAAAAATATATCCTAAAATATCACATTTTAGCGATGTAATCGGCGGTCCCGCTACCCGAATCTGAAAAATCGAGTATTTTACGCGTGTCTGTAAGAAATATGGGGACCATAAAATGAGCTTTATTTCAAGTATTTTTCAGATTTAGAGCCCGATTTTGTGCTAGTCGCAAGCTCAAAAGTATCTCATCGCATGTATTAAATCAATGCAGCCGCACACCGCAACGCACACACGATATCTCTGTCTAATTCAGATTCCAACTTCCAATCACCGCTGTGCCCGTCTTCGGCCAGGCGAGCACTCGGGAGCTCCGGCGTGGGATACCTGCTCCGCCCGCTTGTGCTGTACATCAGCGCGGAAACGCACGGCGCGCGCGAGCGCTTCCTATTGACTTTGTACATGAGGCCGTAAACTGAAACGCTCGGCCGATAACAGCTAGGCTCCAAAACAGTGAAAATTGAAATGAATATTGTCATGGCAATTCGTGATTTTTTTCTGGGATTCTTTTTTTGTTTAAATAATAATAATATTTGCTTCATGATTTGAACAAAAAATGATAATAAATAGGAAGTAAAGGGTCCTAAAAAAAAGGATTTTGTCTTAAGTGGCTGAAAACGGGCTCCTTTACTCTACAACTGTAGACTAGCTTCAGTTTGAGTTGCAAAGCTGTAGACTAGTAGTAGAGACAGTACTGAGCGACGACGTCGACATCGAAGCCTTAAACGGAGGCTTCCCGATTTCGGATGTGATCCAAATTCAGGTGGAAAATGTGATATAGATCTAGTCTAGGTCTATGATTATGATTAAAATTAGATCTAGTGAAAAATTGGGCTAAATTTCCTTTGCCAAGAATGCATGAAACTGCTAAAAAAATGGATACGGAACTAGATCTACACTAGCGCCAGATTTTGTTTCTACTTTGGGCAGAATCCGGATAATTACCCTTAACTTCTGTGATATCATACAGGTGCAGATGACATTTAATTCTTGATCTTGCTAGTCAATCCAACGACACTACCGGTAAAGAGACAACATCATTCCCGATCCCGCGCCCGGTCCGGCCGGCGGCCCCGCCCCCGCCCGACGACCTAACATTTGTCTAGACTAGTCTACGTTTCTTTGCAAAAAGAGGCTTAGAGCGGTAAAATAGATCTTGAAAATTCAACATTACCTGTAAGACATAGTAAAATAACCGCTCCCTGGCCTAAGAAAATGAAGTATGGCCGATTTCCTGTACAGTTGGTAGTACAATACCGCTCAATCGTCAAAATTACGTTCCGGTTGAAAATGTACGTACCGTAGGTCTACCGTAAAGTACCCGTAAACAACACATATGGCGAGTAGTCGCAGTACAGTGTATACTGTGCTTATCCGTCTACATAAGGTTTTGGGACAGTTCGACCAATTTACAGCTCGACCATTCATAACCCGACCAACTACCCTGGACAACTTGACCAGGTTGCGTTACGTTATCAGGCGCGGTCGGGTCATGCATAGAGAAAAGTATTATTGGTGTCAGGTCAGAAAAATTAGAGCCTGATTGAGGTAATGTCAGAGGTAAAAATGTAAGTGGTAAAATGACATAGATAGACAGATATTAGTTTGTCATTATCACAAAATAATTACTCAGCAGCTGTAAACGATGGTCAAGAACGAATTGCGAAGATTAGGAAAGGACGCAATCAATGAAGGATCTTAGGTGCCAAAAATGGGCAGGGTCCACATGGTACAGCCAACGGCGACGGTTTCCCTGCAGTGTCGATAGAATCAGGAAAATAATTTTAATTTCTGTACCAAAGAGCAGTAGCATACGCAGGATTTTTTCACGGGGGCCCGGGGGGTTAACATTTTTAAATCGGGCCGAAATTTTCGCAACGACTCAGCCAGCCGCTGAATAAGCGGGGAAGGGAGGGGGTATAAGAGGACATATTTTTGTTTTCTTCTCAGCAAAGCCGCTGAATAAGCGGGGGAGGGGGGGTAAGAGGACATTTTTTTTTTTGGAGTCCCAAAACTATTTCGCCACGACTCAGCCAGCCGCTGAATAAGCGGGGAGGGGGGGGGGGGGTTAAGAGGACATATTTTTTATTTTTTTGTTGGTCCTAAACATTTCGCAATGACTCAGCCAGCCGCTGAAAAGGCGGGGGGGAGGGGGGCAGGAGGACATATTTTCTTCTTTTTTGGGGTCCCAAAATTTGAAAATTTGACAGATCGAAATTTTGTTCCGTCCCGGAGGGGGGGGGGGGGGGTAAGGTTACCTTTTTTAGGTCATCAAAAAACGACACAAAAATCCAAAGGGGAGGGGGGGGGGGGTTCTTCCAAAATACACACATAAACAAAACCAAAGTGGGGGGGGGGGGGGGGGGTTAACCCCCATAACTTCCCCCCCCCCCCGCTCCCCCTGCGTATGCGCCTGCCAAACAGTATCATCATTTCAAGATTTTATTTCTTAAACTCAACTTGGACGTACGCTTTAGGCCGGGGTGTCGATACCGGGGGGGATGGGGGGATATACCCCCCCCCCCAATATTTGAGGTGGGGGGGGGGGTGGCCTGTACAATCATCCCCCCCCCCCCCAATAATTCACCATCAACAAAAAAAAAAAAAGAGAAAAATAAATGATGAGAGCCCGATTAAAGTAGTTAATGGTTATTGCTCGCAAGATGACCATCAATATTCACATTTTGCTATCTCATTTTCATCATACATACATATATACTAAGTAAATGAGACAACCGTATATGAGACAAGAATAAATTGAATTCTCGCTCATACGGCTTCATCAGGAATTGATAAATTTATTCAATTTGTTCAATCAACAGCATCATAGAAATGCAGTGCGCCAAATGCAAAGACGCAGCGTTAAAAAGCAACGAGCTAAATGTTAAGCGCGTGAGCGAAAAAGTAGCAATCTGCAATACATATCAGACAATCCTGGACAGTGTAAACATAGATGAACTCTGTGACGAACTCGTGATGAGATAGGAGACAAGGAGAAAGCTTCCGCGCTTCGCGCGGGGGCGGGGAAACTGAATTCAGACAAGGATTAAGAGTCGAGAATGGTACATCGAATCGTCTTCTTTCTTTGATAATCTAATGAAACGTCAGAGCTTCCGCGCTTCGCACGGAGAATGGCTGAATTCAGACAAGGATTAAAGGTAATACAAAGTTTTGGTAAATTTTGAAAATTGGGTGGATAGTGACTCTTTACAATTTTGATATAATATTTGGATGCCCCTGTGGATGTATTATAAGCACTAGAAAGTTTAGCCCCTAAAACACTCCTACTTTCGAGAAAAATTGAATATAAAAATTTACCGGTGCTCCCGGTAAATTTTTATAAATTTCACATAGCACCTACGGCTGTTCAATGGTAGCTACGACCATGAAAATCTCACAATATGTAGTTGTGATACATAATTTTCAAACGGGAATAGCTAATCGGTCGATTTTAGTCAATAAACATTGTTTTATAGGTTGGTTGGTTGGTTCTTCGTTTAGATGGCGCTCTTCAATCTCAAAGATTATTTGCGCCAGTCAATTTCGTGTATAGCTTTGGCGTGGGCTTCGGAAATCAAGCCCACGAGCGACTTTCCTTGGTGAAATGAAATTAATAGTGATATGGTTTTATATAAAAAAAAAAAAAAAAAAAAAAAAAAAGCTGCAATATTAAAATTGCATAAAATGCACATAAAAGGCGAGATGGGAGTTAGTTGCAATTGTTCATGGAAAAACCGCAAATACTTCATTTTATATATTATTACAGGATCGACATAAGTTAAGGGGATCCCTGATAGCTTTAAAAGCTATCTAAAACGATTAGTATCGTATATGTAACCCAATAATTCACGAGTAAAAATTGGGTTAGACATCAATAATTGTTTCAGATTGGGGTTGTTCAATTTAATCCTTTCTTTTAAGAGACGTCTATCTTTGTCGTATTTTGTACAATAGAAAATAAAATGTTTAATTGTTTCATCTTCTTGACAAACTTCACAAAGACCAGTATCGTGTTGGTTAATTTGAAAAAGGTAATAATTTAAACTACAGTTACCTACTCTTAGTTGTTGTATCAAGCATTCTTCTCTGCGAGATAGGCCTTGTCTATGTATGGGCTTTGAAACGTCGCTATGCAAAGCATATAAAAATCTACCGTGTTCTGCATTGTCCCATTCTGCTTGCCATAATTTGTTATAATGGATCAAACGAGAGGCTGCCAATTCACTTCTTGTATTTGGTATAACTATGTCTATACACCTTTTCATGGCTCCTTTTTTGGCAGCCCGATCTACGATCTCATTGCCCCTAATATCGCAATGTGACGGAATCCATTCAAAAGCAACACAAACATCCTTAAACTGCAAAATATTAATTATGGATAAAATTTCATTTACAATAGCACATCTAATAAAGTATGAATCGATCATTTGTAAAGCTGACAAAGCGTCGCTAAAAATTACCACCGAAGAGGATTCAATAAATGTATTAATCCACTCTAGTGCCATTAGTATGGCCACTAGTTCTGCTCTCATAATACAGACATGGGATAATCTAAAAAATTCACCACATTATAATGAGACACATAAAACGCGGCTCCTGTCTTCCCATCCTCGAGTTTAGAACCATCTGTATATATATGTAAAAACCCATTCCATGAATTTCCAATGCTATCTAGAACAATCGATTTTATTTCAAATGGAGGCATTTCCTTTTTTTGCACTTTGCCATGGTGTTCGAAAGACACTTGTGGTCGTGCTAACCGCCATTCTGGGATTTTCGGCAATAAGTTGGTTTGCCCTTCCACCACTACTTCGTCTCTAAAGGATCGCAGTTTAAAAGGTCCTTCTCCTATCTTCCATTCTAAGTTATTTAAATCATAGTCATCACCCAATACTTCTTTTGTTGGGTGGTTTAAAGTACTAATAAGACAGTAAATAAACTCGAAAGTTATCATTTAACAACCTTCTACGATATCTCAGAGGCAGCTCCCCGGTCAAAACTTGTAAAGCCTGCAAGGACACATTGTGTATTGTGCCTGTAATAATCTTTAAGGCTCTGTATTGGATAGAGTCAAGTTTTTTTGTTAAAGATATACAAGCAGAATCATACATTTCACTCCCATAGTCCAAAATGGATAGGATAAGTCCTTTATAAATCATCATCAAAATCTCATACTTACTTCCCCAGGGGGTGCCGGAGACACAACGTAGCAAGTTTATTCTTTTCTTACATTTATCAATGATAGAATCTATATGGACAGACCAAGTTAAATTGGAGTCAAACCTCACACCAAGGAACTTATACTGCTCGCATATAGGTAGATTATGTCCTTTTATTTGTAGAAGAATATCTTTCTTTTGTTTGTTGGTAAAGACTAATACTGCAGATTTGGTAGGGGAAACGTTTAACTTCCACGTCCAACACCATATCTCAAGCTCATGCAGGGCCTCTTGTAATTTCCTGCGGGCCAGCTCTAAATCCTTATTTGAACACCAGATTGCAATGTCATCAGCATAGCAAGATAATTTAACATCACTTACATTTATCTTGAGATCATTTAACATTAAAGTAAATAATAAAGGACTTAATGAACTTCCTTGCGAGATTCCATTTTCTAACGTGTAGTGGCGAGACATATAGTTATTTATCCTCACATTAGAAATCCTACTCAATAGAAATGCTTTTATAAAAAGTAACATTTTTCCACCAATGCCTAAGATAGATAATTTTCTTAGTAGACCTGTTTTCCATAGCGAATCATATGCTTTTTCTAAATCAAGAAAGACCGCTACGGTATATTTTTTACTTTTCAAGGATATATGTATGTCCGTCTCCAATCTCACTAAGTGATCTTTGACATTCCTATATTTGCGGAAGCCAGATTGAATAGGATTTAATAGTCTGTTCTTTTCTAGAAACCACGTCAGGCGATTTTTTATCATTTTTTCCATAATTTTAGAGAATGTTGATATCAACGAAATCGGCCTATAAGAGGTCACTTGAGTCGGATCTTTTCCGGATTTCAAGATTGGTATTTGAATAACCTCATACCACTGATGTGGAAAAAGTGAGATTTTCCAAATGTCATTATACAAGTTTAATAAATACACGAGTGCCTTGTTCGGCAAATTCTTAATCATAATTAAATAAATATCATCCTTACCGGATGAGGAGTTTTTCATCTCCTTTAAAACATTCCCCATTTCACTCATGTTAAAGTCATCATTGATACAATCATCATCATTTGTTGAAGAATTATTGTACAAGATATTTTCGTTTTCATTTTTAGTTACGGAAAGTGATTCATCAACCGATTTAAAATAGGTTGCCATTGCATTTGC